ACGGAACCGAACCGACCCGAACCGAACCGAACGGAACCGAACCCGAACGGTTCCATAATTATATTTGGACCCGACGGGTCCATTTATTAAATACCCGAAAGTTTTGGGTCGGTTCGGGTATCTTCAGAACCGAACCGAACCGACCCATGGACAGCCCTACTTCTATGCCATATCCCACCATTGCATCAATTGAAGAAACCTCATCTGTTGTTTACAAGGTATGTTGGGCAGTTCATCAGTCTCTTTATAACAATATTTTGTAAAATATTTTAACTAACTGTTTTAAGTTTTGCATTCAGAGTTCCAGGCCAGACACACCCCCAAGTGCTACCTCAATTCTCTAGCTAATCCAATGACGAAATGTCAGGATATTGACCCAAGAAAAGACCCCGAGATAGAAGAGGTGATACGAATGTTGGAGACTATTGACATTTCTAAAGGAGGCTGTATGATGCAAGACGATCAATCTCAAGGTTGCTTTTACTTACTCAGACAACGAAGTCAGAATGAAGAACGAGAGAAATCAAAGTTGTAATGATATTCATTATACGTATACATTATATGTACCACTAGCAAAACAAGGAAAATATCACAAGTAATATTTTTAATAATACTTTGGGTCAAGCATATGATGATGGTGCTATGGAAGTGTCAATATTGTTGGGATGTACTGGTGCACCTACTAATTCTTGAGATTAGCATCCTCATGTTTTTCTCATCGTTTAATCAACATTCATTTACAAGCCTACAACAGGAACAACTCAAAATGGTGGGGGTGGGGTGCTTTCACTTTGCACCCTCCTATACAGCTAGGGTATGTTTGGTGCGAAATATTACACATCATTGGACAAAACAAGTGAATTCAACGTCTTTTTCTTTCTTCATCCTATCCAGTTTTGTCCATTTGAGTCTACCAAACATGCACCTATTGAAGTTTAACCTAAATTGCTCTGGTTACACATGGCAAAGCGACTAAGCTGATCTCTACCATGTACTTAACTCGCTGAAATGTGTCCAATTTCCCATGTACTTCGAATTTCTTCCAGATTTCAAGTTGAGTATTTGCAAAAATTTGTCTTCTACATATATACGCTCACTTTCAAATCAGGACACAGCAAACGCACCATTGATTCTGAAAATCAAAATGTGCAGATGAACAAAATATCCAAGCGACAACTTTGAGGCTTTACATAAGGGTCACCAGCTCCAGTCATCATATATATGTCAAAATCAACTTACCACAGCCTTTTTAACTGGAGAGGCTAAAGATCCAAAACACATCTAACCTTACTTGCATTGCTGAACTCTTACTTCACTTGCATTTCTGAACTCTATTTTGAGTATAGTCCGAATTTTTCTCCTCAAATCAGAGGCATTCTCAGGTCTGAACCACTGCTTGCCAAACTGAGATTGAATATATTTTAGGGAAAATTGGAGATTAAAATAGTAATAATAATGCAAACCTTGGACAGCAGAATAAGTACCATAGACATGTCTTTCCTTTTCAGCCTTTGAGGAGCATCTTTAATGAAACGTTCCATAAAATAGAGAACAAAGAGACCACAGTCGTATTCATTTTTTTGTTGTGGCACCTGTCACCAATATAAAATAGAAATGCAGAATGAACAGAGTTAAGATGAGAACCTAAAATCAGTGTTTTAAAAATCGTAAAACGTGGTTAGGTGTGGAAGCGAAGCTTCAAACTTTACGAGCTTAAACGAGCCTAAGCGACGCCTAGGCATAAAAAAGCATTTTCTTATTTTTAATTTTTTTTTCGATAACTGTGGATATCCGGGTCAGCTTGCGTGTACCTCGACTAATCCCACGGGGCCCTAAAGTTTACGGCCGGAAACTTTTAATCATTTTAAAAATCATTTAATAATTAAAAACAATACAAAATATTCTCCAACAGGGTTTTCACACATTCACTCTAGGTCAGCTTCAAGATTTTAAAAGCTCAGAATCATATGGGATTAAATGACATAAAATTTCAAAATATCCAAAACACTCTTATTTTATTTCAATTTTGGAGGATTGGAGCTGATAGCATAGTCAGCATGAGATTATCTTCTTCAAAATGAAAAATATCAACAAACTAAGTTGTATTTTCAATGTAAGTGGGCTCGGGTGTGAAGATTTTTTGGCGATTCCATTGCATTCATTTTCCACTATGAAAACATTCAACATATTTGAACACAATCATCCATAGTTAACTACTACTAAGAAATTACGCTCACATTGTAATCAAACAATAACAAGCCACCTTTTCTGATGATTGAGCACAAAGTATTCTTAAATTGTTAAGAATTACGTGTCTAGAACATTAAGATGCAAAAATTATTTGTCATGAATTGGCTTAAATTGGGAGAATGTCTAATATTTCAAGAATCAGGTGAAATATGAAAATTTCTACTTGTGATCATATCTAGTTTGAAGCAAGGGCAACCAATACCATGTCCAGAGCATATTGAGCATGTAATTACAATAAAACAGACACAAAGATAGTACACACAGATATTATGCAAAACAAGCAAAATACTTGGAGAATCTAACCAATCTCATTTAAGGATGAAGAGCAAACACAGACCTCAATTTTTCTCTCGTCGAATCTTTGCCATAGTTGCCATATTTTGTCCGTAATATGAAAATCAGGCGAAACTTCTTGTCTTAAAAATTTCAACTCTTCTATTAGAAAGCTGCAAATCAGTATACACATTTCTTAAGTCCATAATAAGTACAGGTAAAAATAACAATCGCATCAGAACAGTTACAAAGACATCTTAAAAGAGAAGTGATACTTGATTCAGGAAAAAGGGAAATACCACAGATACACGACACAGTGTCAAGCAGCAGACAGTATGCTTGCCAATGTGCTACAAAAGCGATGCAGCATTATAATAAATTCACAGAGAACACACTTAGAAAGTATCGCGCCCTGGGATTAATATGTAAAACCACGTAATAAAACATGTAGTTCCTCACAATTAACAGGAATGTGTATATTTGCAAGTGAATTACCACATAAAGAAAAGGATGCTTTTGAACAAAGATGAAGCATGCCATTTTGTTCAAATCCAGTAATCTACTAAGAAAGCAAGGAAACGAACAGCAGAAGACAACAGGAAAGACAAAGCTGTGGAGAGTATCTTATTGAACCAATACATGAGAAAAGAAGTTAAATAACATGAATACTAGATATTAATCCTGAAATAGTCAAAAAGACAACACATTTCTGGCGTTCAGAACTGTAAATAAAGATTTTTGCCAAGTAAGGATACATAAATGCGCTTACGTAAATAACATATCACAACAGTCTTTACTTGATGAAGATAACTTACAACAATGTAGCATATGAAGTCAATAATTAGTGAAGAACAAAATTCAATTTACCTCCTGATGTTTTCAAATATGGACTTGCTTGCATGAAGCCCTAATGAATCCAAGTGAAGTAACATTGGACGCGATTCATCTTCTTTACTAGGTATACAAATAATAACCAAGCTCCAATGCTGACTGCAAGAACACACAGAAAAGGAGATCAATGGCAGCTTCAGCAAAAAGGTAAAAGATGTCAAAACAAAAGTCTGCCATAAGTTTTAGCCTTCTGGTAAAAGAACAAGATTCCAACTTGAATAACTAAAGAAGCCAAGCTCCAAAATGAACAATAAACATTCATTTCTAACAAAGGCAATAGGTTGCAATAGCAGTGTCTATGATGCACCGACATGGATACGCGTGTCTGACAGGATGTATGTCGGCTCCGACACTCAGATTTTTAAAAAAAGTACCAACATGACATGTAGTAGAAACTTTGATTATTTTTTTGTAAAAAATTTTTCATTTATATAGTATAACTTTAGTTGTTATGCTCGCTATTAATTTTTCTTGTTGAAATATTTTGAATAAGAGTACCTATTTGTGATATTATCACAACTTTGAGTTAAAACAATTTATTACTACGACCAAAGAAAGAAAAGTGACTATAGTAAAGTGTTCCGTTAGTGATGGTATCTGAAATGACGCGACATGTGTCGAACACAGACAAGCCACCCTAGTTGAATTGTCGTGCAACACAAGGTAGTATCGGTTGCTTATTCAATGAAGGAAAAAACAAGGGCGTCGGAAAAGAAATTCTTTTGTGATTAAACTACAGTTTTTTTTTTTAATTTTAAAAAATATAGAATTTTCACATTCATCATCATCACCACCTAATAATATACATTTTTAAGAGCTTCATAATTGACTATACTACTTACTCTTCATGAACAGGTAGAAATATATAAGCCTTCTCAAATAAATTGACACCTTTCCACCACCTTCTGAACTTGACAAATGAAGTTTCCTCGTCATTCTGCATTGTTAAAAAATTCACACTGAAGGAAGGACTTCATACAGATAACTTCGTAGTTAAACAGAGTATGTATTACAATGAGCATTCATCTTTACCTATAAGTTGATTATTTTTCGAGAATAAACTTTTTCGATAAGTTTTTCATCTTATGATTTATGAATGATGAAGTCTAATAAGATAAAAGTCCCCTGAAAACAAAGAAAAGTCTTCTAGCAAATCGAATGAATCAACTATGCATTTTCTGCCTCGTTATATTTCTAAAGGACATTCGACATGAAACCATTGGAACCATGGTAAGTTGACTGTATCTTTTTTTTAAGTAACCTACACATTCTCCTATGAAGCCGTGAAATTACAAACAAGTAATGTGCATTTGAAAAATTAAAACCTACTTCTGCCTCCACTTTTAAAGTATCCCGTAAACAAATATAAAGTTGCTCGGCTATGACTGGGATCAAAATCAAATATTCTAAAAGAAGGCACACCCAGAAAAATATAGCAGAGAAGAAATCAATACCTTGGTCAGGACATCCTGTTTTAACTTTTTGTAAAAATATGTGTTAAAAAAATGATAATAGTCACTTTCAGCGCATGTCGGAGCCCTTGACTGCAAATACCTAAACAGAGAAGATCAATAATTATTCAAATGAATAATCTCAACATTAATACACTAATGACGACTCTATCATTTGCATTACTTCTAGATCATCCAACAAAATAAGTGCACAAGTTACTAATATGGCCCAAACCCACCTTATGACATAATTTGCATAATGTTAATGAAATGTGTTATGTTGTACAAATATATAATTCCAATGTAGAAGAAACTACAAGTGCTAAGTGAGGGTGGGGTTCTGCACAACGTTAATGAAATGTGTTATGTTGTACAAATGTATAATTCCAAGGTTGACGAAACTACAAGTGCAAAGTGAGGGTGGGGTTCTGCATAACATTAATGAAATGTGTTATGTTGTATAAATGTATAATTCAAACGTCGAAGAAACTACAAGTGCTAAGTGGGAGTCGGGTTCTACAACCTTATTTCACTTACCTGATGTAAAAATTCATTATTATTGATGACAAATACGACTCTGGAGCTAGGCATTCCATGTCTGAATAACCAATTTCAACTGCCTCTGGATCATCCCTATTTCAAATTTGGAAATTAAAAATCTTGGAACATGTAAACAAAAATTAGACATGTTTACTCAAGCAGACAGTTCTTATCGATGAAAAATAGAGTGCAAATTCTACCTTGAGGGATAGTATATCCTGGTCTCTTTGATGCTGAAAGAATTTAAGATAACAAGAATAAAGTTGAACGAAAGAGAACAAATTATATAATATTTACTGAAAATGAACATAAACAAACATACAAAGTCGAAAAATCAATATACCGTTCATTGACTTTGTCTTGTGCAATTACTTCTGAAACCTCTGGGTCCTCATCCAGTAATACAACGGTTTTTCCAAACTTCAAATTCAAAAACAATGATCAACAATAGAAGATGTCACTACGCATCAACATTCTATATATCATAGACGAAAGCATATACATATTAGAAGTGAAAAATGAAAAGGAAAATCCTAGTACACATTGAAATTTCTTTCTAAATGCATTACAAGAGAATGCAGGGTATGGTAGGTAATTATATGCTTAAATGGAGCAAAATTGTCCCATCCAACACTAAAAGACTTGTAGAGAAAAAATACACATAACATTACAGTATTGTCATCGAACTAGTAATGAAGCAATGGAAAAGAATTCTTAGTATATGAGCAGTAAAATAATACTAGGGACCACGAAGAAACTATTACATGCCATAAATGAGGTCAGAGTCCTGGAAAAAATCTCTCATCAAACCAGCATGTCATCCTAAAAATAGTATTCACAAATTTCTCACCAATTTTCATTTTTACAACTTCAATTTAGATATGCAATCACATTTAACGACTAAAGATGCTTTAGAGTTCAAGTGCATCATGTAAGTTTGAGATCAACAACAATTAAAAAGAAGGTACAAAATGACAATAGGAATACTGGGAGGACTTACATTGTTCTGAGTCAGATCATGTGAAGCTTGTACATCAGAAGAATCCCTCCTTAAATGAACAGAAAAAAAAAAGGACATTAAATAATAAGTTGTTTACAAAGTTGCATCCATATGTGCTGAAAGGACTATGACATGTAAACTAAACAAATGTGTTTCTGCTCTTGGTGTGTGCTACGATGGGCACTGATACATACAAAAGAGGAATTAATAGAATCAAGACACTGATTCAGATCAAGTTTCTTCATACTTCCCCAGAAAGATTCCACAAACAGCTGCCAAATGAAGGCAAGAGCTGAACCTAAATAAAAAGGTTGAGAGGAATTAATAGAATGAAGTCACTGATTCGGACCAAGTTTCTTCATATTTTCCCCACAAAGATTCCACCAACGGCAGCCAAATGAAGGCAAGAGCCGACCCTAAATAAATGGGTTGTCCATAGTTTCCATTTCTTGCCTTGTCTTTGTGTATTTATTATTTTCCAATTTTTTTAACCTTGAAGATAAAACAGCAACACCAACTTACACAAAGGTTACCTTCAAGTGATATTGAATTCATATAAAGATAGCTTTCTTCCTACTATCCCTATATAAATCCACAGGTATGAAAAAGTAAACCAATGGTCCAATACTATGTCAAAAATTACCAGAAAAGAACCTCCATAGGAAAATATAGCTAAACGATACCCCAGCAATAAAATGATTAAGAAACATTAAGAGTATAAAGTTTTATTTGCTTTCTTAGTACCTTGACTCTCCATGCTGGCGGTAAATTTGACAATAATCATATCAAAGAGCCAGGGTGCTAGTCAGAAAGCTGATACATTAGCTCCTTAAAACTACGTGTTTTTCAGGATTAACAGTATCATTCAAATAGCCATCCTTTGGTCTCAGTTTCAGAACTGAATATAATGGCCGACAACCACTCCTTACATATGATACCAAAGGTTGCGTATTCACTCTATCCATGACAGTACCCCACGAACCCTCACTCCGTGGGTCAAAGATATAGTATTGAGGTCAAAAATTTTATGCGAGAATTGTTTTCTGATGCACCATGTGATAGGTACCCTTTAGAACTAGAGCTGAGATTTGCATACAGTGAGATTACGATTGCACTACCACACGAACTTATAAAACTAGAGACATGAATATCTGAAATATGAAGAATTATATATGATCATAAAGCCAGCACACATTGGTGTTCGTCCAATGAGGTTCATCAAATACTTAGCGATATATGTACAATACAGATTATTATATCAAATTGCTGAAGCCTGAATGGATAAGGCTCATTTACCTAACAACATGGGTAGTCGCAACAGCGCATGTAGAGTGAGCCTTAGGCCTGAGGTAAACCTTGTGAAACCTTTGGATCCATCAACCAACCCCATGTAACAAGCTAGGAAGTATCGACATGGATGTGACAGTCAGAGATGACACGACAAGGACATGATGATACGAAATTTTTAAAAATTATTGACACGACGTGTCCTTGACACCCTGAGTAAATTAATATTAATCTTTTCTTTTTCTTTTTTTTTGTTTTTTTACTCTCTCATTATTTTTTTTATATTTAAAGTAAATATGTTTTTGTTAATTCCAGTGTGTCGGCAACATATGTCCAGCATGTCGGCGATGTGTCCAAATACAAAACCAATAAATAATTTGGACAAGCAACCTCAGCGGTGTGTCGGTGTCTGATGCATGTCGGAGTTGGTGCATCCTAGGTGGCAGGAGGGCCACGATTTATAAGAAAAGGTAGATGATAAAAACCAAGTTCCTATAGGGACCCACATGATAGGCCAAAAAAGACAACAAGAAGTAATTTTCTATTATATGGTGATTAATTAGTATTAACGGGTAGCAGCACTTGTCTTTCTAGTAATCACAACAGAAGTACAATAATTTGGATTATTCAGAAGAATATGTGAAAAAGGGGGTAAAATATAGATAAGTCAGAAAATCCATGTTAAATGAACAGCGTAAAGTAATGCTTACTTCTTCGAAAAACAGCCAGGGAAATCTTCTTCAGAACGGGGGGAAGGAGTAGAAGAGTTTCTTCCTCTTTGCTCCTCATTCAGCTGGAGTTGTTTGTCAGTGTTTCCAAAAAGATGATTAGGTGATTTAAAAGGCATTTGCCTTGACGAAAAGCCACTCTTCCGTGTTCCATGAGATTGAAATTGCCCATTTCCTCTCTTATTCTTGCCATCACAGCGAGAAAGAGCTGACATTTCTTCTTCAAAGGCATTGCTCGCCCGGTAACCTGTCTGTTTGATCATGAATTGATAGAAAGCGTTAATACGTTAAATCAGTCATGCTTTTAAGACAATTGCTCAAGGATGTTTCCATACTTTGTCATCCAACTTCCTGGAAAAACATGAAGCAAATAGGGACTGCGATGTAGGTACAGATGATAAAGCCCCTGGCCTTGAGACATCAGAAACACCTACAAAATACAATAACCCTTAGGAAAAGAAGGATCGGTGGGCTGAATAGCTTAAAGCATGAAAGATATAAGACTTGCAGTATCCATCCCCTATTCAGAAAATTTTATTTGTGCATTCTACAAGCCCAATAACCATTTAAGCCTTAATGACAGATCTGTAGATGTGAAATATTTTCAAGTCTGCTGAGCATTTTAAAAATCATAGGAAATGAAGTTGTAGATAACTTCTAAAAAGCCTCAAATTGAATGTGCACGTGTGCATAGATAATAGATTGAAAAGTAACAGTAGCTTACCAACAAAAGTTGGGTCAGTTGACTGCATGGGCTTCTTGCATCTTCCATCTTCCTGTGCAGCAAATGTCATTTCAATAATGACCAATATTCAACACATAAACAAAAATGCATACATAGATCTCATGAAGAAAGAGCTACAGAATCCTCATAGTCAAAGTTTTGCATGACATATCATAACCAGAACCAAGTTACTGTCTTCAAGTACGGATAAATGACGTCATAAATGCTTACATACGGGTTGAATTTCAACTCAGGAGAAAAGAATTGATCACAGTTTTCCAATTTAAAAAAATGTGAATTGTTAGGATGGATACCATATATGCCTTTAAGTGTAGTAAATGCCATGAATGACTAATGGTTCGAAATCATTTTATACGCCATTTGATAGATCAAATAAATATGCTATGCAATATTTATACTCCAAAAAAAGAAATAATGGATTTTAAACACAAGGTCGATTCTTGGGATCATAGACGTCATAGCAAAACATGAGCGAAATCTTGGGACATGATTTTCAAATCTGGGCATTAGTTGTCTTCTTTTCTCTAACTGAATGTATACTTTTATGCGGCACAAATCACATCAATTCACCTTTTCTACCTTTTCAATTCATTCCATTTCTATCCCTTTTACTCCTGTTAATGCAAGATGAAACCGGTTAGTCTCAGCTACTTGCATCAATTTAGTATAATAGAACACAACCCAACTTCGACAAATTCTTTTTTTGTCATTAATTGATATATGCACACAGCATAACTACTAAAATATTAAAAATGGCGATTCACACCTCCATTCAGTCTGACCCTTTCATCTCGCCAAACCCAAACCTTTCAAAACCTAACCTTTCAACATTCTCACACCAAATTTAGGGGAAAACGTAAATTAGATAATTTTTAACAACAATCTTAACAATTCAACCTTCTGATGTTTTCTGCGCTCCAACTCCTCTTCGCGCCGCTTTATGCTAGCTAGTAACTTGTCTCCGCGGTCAGGCAAGTTAGCGGCCAAAGCAGAGAAATTGTTCTTCATCCTTTTAATTTCTATCTTCAAGTCGTCATCAGACGTTTGCCGAAAGTGATCGTCTCTGGATGACTCCTCGCCGCCGTCAGTCATCGGTTTCTCCGCCGCCGCCCCTGCCGCCGGCTTGACCAACAGAACCGGATCCTCGTCGTCCTCTTGCCCGAGTAGCTTATCCCAGTCCAACTTTAGAGGAGATTTCCTCTTTCTCTCTCCACCCCCTTCCATGCATGAGTGTATTATATATGTATAGGTGATGGAGGAGAGAATGCTGGTCAATTATGTGTCTCTGAAAATGACTCCTCCGCAACTCTCTTCAACTGTAATTATGTTTGCTAAATCAAGGTACAAGGGGGAGAGAAAAACAAAAGTAAAAATTATGGGCAACCATCCCAAACTTTCGATTGCGTGGTTTTGAGTCCTTAAAAACTGGGTTAATTACCCCAATAGTCACTGAACTTTACCGAAAATTTTCACCAGATCACTGAACTTCAAAAAATTACGCGATTAGTCACTGAATTTTCAAAATTGCAACCCCATCCATCACTAAAATTTAAAATCACTTCATTCATCACTGAACTTTGCAAAAGATTTTTACAGGGTCACTGAACTTTGTAAAAAGTTTTCCAAATGGTCACTAAGGAAACTCTTTGCAAGATTCAGTGATGAATGTGTTGATTTTTAAAGTTCAGTGATTGATGGGATTGTAGTTTCAAAAGTTGAGTTACTAACTACGTAGTTTTTAAAGTTCAGTAATCTAGTGGAAACTTTCGATAAAGTTCAGTGGCTATTGGGGTAATTAACCCTCTTAAACCCTTCAATTCCTGAGTATCAACATTTTTTAAATGTGTGAATATACTCTTATGTGACACAATCGTCAATATGAACATTGAGTTTTCAATTTTAAGTATGATTTTGATGTCCATATTGAAGTTTAGTCACGTGCGACCTTAATTTACATATTTCGGAAACAAGAACTTTAGTTTTAAAGGTTGATGACTCAAAATTATACTTAGCCCCCATTTGATTCTCATTTTTCATCCATAAAAATGAAAAATATGACCGTTATCCATCACATCAAGCCATCAATTTTGAATTTCTATCTTTTGTGTGAGGTCCAATAACGATTCATTTTTATTAGCATAAATACCCGTACTTAGTGCATATATATATATATATATAGCCTAAAATGGTGATGTTGGCACTCTTAAGAGTTATTCAATAGGTGACCTCACAGACTTCCTTGACTAGAAACTGATGACTCATAAATAAAGATCGAGTTATGTTCATTGAAATAGTAGCAAGGTAGTCCTCCGTGTTCGCCTTGATGAGTGCGGCAGTCCGGTTGCTCTAGTTGGTGGTTGCTACCTGCAAAATGAGGTTGGGGCTTTCTCCCCCGTTGTACCTCCGGCGTGAGAATCAGTAACAAGTTTTGAGATGTATATATGGAATGCAAATAGTTCGGGTTTCAAGAAGAAAATACATTTTCTCACATTGGGGTATTTATAGGCACCTGATGGCACGCACCCTGCTCCGAGATTTACGGTGCCACGTGTCCCACGTATGCCTTCCCACTCCCCCACGTTCTGTAGCGTTAACACCCACTCGCATTGCGGTTGGTCATGGTCACGTTTGATGTTGGGTGATTTTTGTCTATCTCATGGCCATTTATTTGGCTGAGTATAGTGGGGGTCGACGTCGCTGGCCTCTTAATGGTAGACGGCCTATGTGAGCGTAGAGGACCTCCGGGGGTCGATGTCACCATGGGGGGGGTGCATTGAGTAGCGGTCTTCGAGGAAAATCGTTAATACCATCCTATATCATTCATATTAATATCAAACATTTGCAAGAAGTCTCATTTTGAATTTAGAATCTTATTCATCTATTTTATTTCAATTCTGTGGTTATTTTCTTCTTTAGTTTGTTTAGGTTAGCAATCTTTGAGTGTATAAAATGCTATTGGGAATTGAGCATTGCAGTTTAAAATTTGAGTTTAATTCATGATTTTTGTGTTCTTTTTAATCTTCACCGACTAAGAGTTGGTAAGGAACGACTCCTCATTGATTGTAAGTAGTCGGTGAGGAATTGTTCCTTCTTAGCCTCATCGATTGTTCTTCACTGACCCTTACAATCATAAACTACATTTACACGGATCATGTATATGGAAAACATTCACATAGGGTACATATAGTTCTCTGATGATGAGTTGTGGTTTCAGTTAGGAGACAGGAAGGTGACCCGGTTCTCTTTTTTCAAGTTTACCTTTATTAATGGTCTAAACTCATATAATGCAAAAGTTAGGCTCAATATTTGTTAGAAAAAGAGATTATTTAATGAATATTTTGGAGGTAGGTCTGTTGTTACGCTTGCACAGTTGAAGATTACATTTGATGAATGCTCAGTGATGGAAGATAAATATAAGTTCAAACTGGTGTTCATCTTGGAAACCGTGCTGAAATGCAAACAACACAACACATTTATCAATCTTTTTCCATTGGATGTAGTTGACGATCTTGATTGTATTTAAAAATTATCAATGAAGTTGGAGGTACTTTATGCATACATAGCATGTTTTTAAGATGGAGCATTTGACCAAGATGCCTACGGGTTTCCATTGGCATACATGTAAATGTTAAATCTTATGATGCTAACATTTTATTAAATTTCAATGTGTAATACTTATAAGTGTTGTAGGTATGGGCATACGAAATTGTCCCAACGTTGGCAGCTAAATAGAAAACAAGAAAAGAATAGACGAGGCTCTTGATGATGCTGAACTAGCAGGCAACGAATATCTCGAATGCAAAAGTTATTACCCCAATCCTTGAGTGAGTATATGTTTTATTTTATATTTATATTTGTGTATCAATTTAATGAATGACCATTAAAGTGTTGAAGTGTCGATATGGAAGTCCATATAGTGTTGGCAGCTATAGTCAAGGAGATAAAGCATGGGGTATGTCGGAGGATTGTATTTTTGACCTAGAGAAGACAATCCAATCCTCGACTTTTTATCTTGATGTTGATAGTGTATGTAGATCTATATTTTGTATTGTTCCACTTGATAAAATTGTACTTCAATTATTTACTTATTTAGAGCTCTCAAATTGAATGGTCATTTCCGTCCCCTTTTTCCTCTACGACAACAGAAGCCTAGAGATCTATCATCGTGCGTATTTTCATCCGTACGTCGATCTTCTACATCGTGCCGATCTTATTCACCTTTCGTGGACTTGCATTCTACTATATCCTTAGATAGTTCGTTTAAACTTTTAGCAGACATATGTCTGGGATAGAACAAAATTATGACCTTCCTATTGATGGATAGGACGATAGAAAATTCTAATGGAAAACGGGTGTTGGGAAAGGGAATGAGGGGCTAGATGAGGGGACGGAGAGGACGAACAGGGCACTCGAAAGGATAGAGATGGATGAGAAGGTAGATAAAGTGATGGATAAGATAGACGAGGTCGTAGAGATAATGAATGAGGTAGTGGATAGGATGGACAAGATTGTAAAAGGAATACTCAGCAGATAGAGAGGGTGAAGGGTTGGTGACCGAATGGGTAATGGAGACTATCTTTGAGGTGATGGAGACCATGCTCGAGGTGATGGAACCTAGAAATTGAGGTGATTGAGCCAAATGTATTGGATAAGAGGATAAAATTACCATCATAACATGTTAGTTCACCATTCATAGTCAAGGCGAAGATGAGAAACTATTCTTTAAATAATGAAGAAAGTTAGAGATTGAGTAATTTATGCATTTGCTAACATTGTACCATGAATCCACTTATGGTTATTTTCGTATATGCTAACTTTCTATATTTTTTATTTTTATTTTCAGCGGGACACATCAATTGAGTTATTGGAATATTAGAGATGCCAAGAAAATGGTTTCACAAAATGGTGGCAAACATGCAGTGTATATTGGACGATGTAAGCAAAATTTTATATTATGTATGTTCATATTATATATACTATTATTTATGTACCATTTTTGTTGATGTAGCATTTTGACCTAACAGTGTATCTATTGCGACTTCAAGTTTGTACATATCTACAGTCATTTGACGCTGCTAGGAAAGTTATTCTAGACTTCATATTCAAGAATTAATGTTCTTGATATCGAGCAAAATATACGAGATGTAGATTCATATAGCTACAAGTTACTAGATTATCCCTTAACTTATGTGTATGGAATAGAGCCAAGACTCGGTAAAAAGTAGAAGGTTTGTAAAACTCTCTACATTCCAATGGTACCAAATGGATACTGATTTGTTATTGAGGTCGAATTTGTGAAGTCTACTATTTATGTGTACAGCCTTGACAAGTAGAAGGTTTGTAAAACTCTCTACATTCCAATGGTACCAAATGGATACTGATTTGTTATTGAGGTCGAATTTGTGAAGTCTACTATTTATGTGTACAACCTTGACAAGACTTGTCACAATCAGGGTAAGCCTGAGAAGATTTTATAGTCCATGTGCTTTATTGACCCCATGATGGCTAGGGCAGTGAAAGATACCACAAAACCAAATATACCGTAAGTTCCTTACATTTATGATCTTTACTTTTAGTCAAATTTGTTTAAATGCTAACACATATTGTATTATTTATTTGCAGGGATGGTTGTGGTGTATTCACAATGAAAGACGTTCTTGTGGCAAAGTGTTTTCATCATAACAATGGATTGAAAATTTACTTAACATGCATATCAAAATTTAAACAATATTTTAATTTCCATAAAGAAACATTTTTGTGTTTAGAAAGAAACCGTGATATGATTTATATTTTTCTTGAATTTTGCAAACTCCTTTGCTTATCTTGAACACAAACAATCACAATCTGTAATTCACAACTGTCCAATTGTTCAACTTCCAATGAAAATCCACGAAGTGAACAAGAATGAGAGAATTTAGGATTATTGTTTTTGTGTTAGGAAGATAATAATTGCATTGTTCTTATTTCTAAAACCTGCTTTTTAATAGAAGTTCAAGCAGGCATGACCTGTCACTTAAACTCAACCAAGTCCAATATTTAATTAATCTAATTAATTAAATTTGGTCTATAAATTAATTAATCTAATTAATTACCTTAATACATTAATAAGCAAATCAATTAATTAATTATCCAATACTTGTCAATTAATTAATTAGTATATTTCATTATTCTAGTTCTCATTTTGTGTGTAACACATTAGGTTCACAATCATAATGTCTAACGAC